ACACTGTATGACATACCACTCAAGTATTTGGCAGCAAGGAGAAAAGAACATAATTGCAGTACAGTTTAAAAAAACATTTCCTCTTTACAAAAACCCATAGATTCCCACTGCCACAAAAATGCTCCCTTTCAAAAGGACCAGCTCCAAACACATCGTCTTCTGAGCGAGCCTGTCTCAACATCAAAACACAGGGAAATGAAGGGGGAAAATACGGCAGCCTTGCCTCTGATGAGAGGAGTTGGTAGAGGTATGTTCTGGACTCAGTGGCTAGGCTTAGAAATACATTTTCCATAGAAACATTGTTTTAACGGCAAATTAGGTATCTTAACACTCCTAGATCTAGGTTAGCTGTATTATCAACCAAAGAAACTACTTAAAGCACCCCTTTCCTTACATTCCCATCTCTCCAATACAGGTTTAGAAACACCTTCATCTATTCTCATTTTATTTTTTTCATGGATAAAGTTTACCAAGTCATGTCTTATATTACAATCATTTGTTTGCATGGTAGTGTCACCATTTGATTTCAAGTTTCTTGCTGGCAAGAGACTTGTCTTTTCACTTCTATATCCCTGGTTTTTAATATGCAGTGAAAAAAGGGAATAGATTAAAGAACATTTATTCATTTGAAAGAACAGCCTGGGAATCCAACAACATTCTAAAGCCTGTTTTAATAAATATTTCAAGCTCTTAACCAGTTGAGCGCCACCTCTAATGTCTACACAGTCAAAATTGGTTTTTTGTATATTTCTGCCAGAGAGTTGACTATTATCCACTCTCTTCCAGAGAGAACAAACACATGTCTACGCTTGTCTGAAACAGATAAGCAGCAATATGCACAAGCACCCAGTTACAGACATGTTATTTCAGGCAAATAACAACATCAAAGCAGAAGAAAGTGTGAAGTTTCAGGTTCATCAGTTCCTAATCTGCAGACTTTTATGTAACAATTAAGAGAGTAGTACACATGAGCCTGACTTTATCAGTTAAAGTAGTCTACTTAACTTTTTTTAAGCTTTCAGGATCTTAGGTTATTTATGTTAACTGTGCTATGGACACATAATAGACTACAGGGATAGATTTTGATTTTCATAATATATAGAATGAACCTGGTTTAGAAAAAATAAAAATATACCTACAAAAGAATCTAGAATAGGGACTTCCCTGGTGGCACAGTGGTTAAGAATCCACCTGCCAACACAGGGGACAGAGGGTTCGATCCCTGGTCCAGGAAGATCCCACATGCTGCAGAGCAACTAAGCCCGTGCGCCACAACTACTGAGCCTGCGCTCTAGAGTCCACGAGCCACAACTACTGAGCCCATGTGCCACAACTACTGAAGCCCACACACCTAGAGCCCGTGCTCCACAAGAGAAGCAACCGCCACGAGAAGCCCGCGCACCGCAACGAAGAGTAGCCCCCGCTTGCCACAACTAGAGAAAGCCCACACGCATCAACGTAGACCCAACGCAGCCAAAACTAAATAAATAAATAATAAATACATTTTTAAAAAAAGAATCTAGACTATACAACGTAGTCTTTTTTTTTTAATTAATTAAAAATTTTATTTTTGGCTGCTTTGGGTCTTCATCGTTGGGGCTGTGTTGCTGAGTGGGGGGCTTCTCTTCATTGCAGTGCACAGGCTTCTCATTGCAGTGGCTTCTCTTGTTGCGGAGCACGGGCTCTAGGCGTGCAGGCTTCAGTAGTTGTGGCACGCGGGCTCAGTAGTTGTGGCTTGCGGGCTCTAGAGCGCAGGCTCTGTAGTTGTGGCACACAGGCTTAGTTGCTCCATGGCATGTGGGATCTTCCCGGACCAGGGATCGAACTCTTTGTCTCCTGCGTTGGCAGGTGGATTCTTAACCACTGTGCCACCAGGGAAGTCCTCCTTTTCATTATTTTTTTTTTTAAAGACTTCTCTGTTATTTATGGTATCCTATGCCTTATAAATAAATAGAGCAATAAAGAGTGTAGAACACAGAAATCAATATATAATTTTATCAGAAGGCATTAAATTTCCCTATATTTTATCCAAAACCTTAACTGGGTGTTTATATGTAATATGTTTATATTTTATCCAAAACCTTAACTGGGTGTTTATATTCTGAACACAGAAATCAATATATAATTTTATCAGAAGTCATTAAATTTCCCTATATTTTATCCAAAACCTTAACTGGGTGTTTATAAGATTTTTTTTTTAATTAAGGAACATAGGTTCATAATTACTACAGAACATGAATATTTACAATAATTTTAAATGTTTAGAATGTAATAAAGGAAGTGTGGTGGAGGTTTTCAACTTAATAGCTAGAATTGATTTTACTACTTCTTCATCTCAACCCCCCTGCCCCCCATCTCAAAACTGTACTGACAACTTGCGGTTTCCCCCACTTGTGCAACACCTCTGTACTTTCACACGCACTGTTTCCTTTGCCTGGAAAGTTTTCTGTTTCCTTCACTGGCTAATCCCTACTCATCCTTCCAGTCTCAGATTACCTCTCACCTCTAACAAGAATCCTTCCCCAGGTTAGGTGCCTCTTTCCAATGTGCCCCCACAACAACTGACATTTACTTATCCCATCATGGCATCTGTCTCAATGTATTTAGCCATGTCTCCCAAATAAGTTCCTTAATATCTCTAGCCTCTGGTACCAGCCTGCCCTAGTAACACTTACCAAAAGAAAGTATGAAGTACTATCATCTAAAATTGGAGAAATTACAGAGAGGAGAGGAGGAATTAATAAGAACTACTACAACTCTCACATCTCCTAACAAAAATAAATTGTTCTGAAAAGCTAAATTTATTTTACAGTCACTAATCACTACATGAAAATCTTAAGTGAAAACTGAGATTATTTCCTCATTTATAAAATGAGAACAAAAACAATGAATTAAAGAATCAAGAATTGACTTATTTAGGACTTCCCTGGTGGTGCAGTGGTTAAGAATCCGCCTGCCAATGCAGGGGACACAGGTTCAAGCCCTGGTCCAGGAAGATCCCACATACCGCGGAGCAACTAAGCCCGTGTGCCACAACTACTGAGCCAGGGAACAACAACTACTGAAGCCCGTGCCCCCAGAGCCCGTGCTCCACAACAAGAGAAGCCACTGCAATGAGAAGCCTGTACACCACAATGAAGAGTAGCCCCAGCTTGCTGCAACTAGAGAAAGCCCGCATGCAGCAACGAAGACCCAACACAGCCAAAAATTAATTAATTAATTAAAAAAAATCACACTAAGCAGGTTATAAAAAAAAGTAAGTAAGACCTATAAACTGAAAACTGCAAAACACTGTTGAGAAATTTTAAAAGACCTAATTAATGGAGAGATAATGTTCACGTATCAGAAGGCTCAATATTGTTAAGATAGCGATTCTCCCCAAATTGTTCTTTAGATTCAACATAATCCCAGTACACCTCTTTTTTTTTATAGAAATTGACAGAAAAATTATGTGGAAATGTAAATTAATTTAAAAGTTTTAGAAAACAAGAGCAATGGGTGAAGCCTTATACTAGATGATTTCAAGGCTTCCTAACAAAAGTTAACTCAAAATGGACTGAGATCTAAATGTAAAAACTAAAACTATAAATCTTCTAGAAGAAAACATTTGTGACCTCGAGTTAAGCAAAGAATTCTTAGATAGAACACAGAAGGCATAAACCATAGAAGAATAAAATGTATAAACTGGACTCCATCAAATTTTAAGGGAGAAGGCAAATAGATAAAATCAAAGGACTCTTGTAATAATAAAAAGACAACTCAATTTGAAAATAGGCAAAAGATTTTAACAGATATTCACTAAAGAAGATATACCAACTTCAAATAAGCACATGAAAAGATGTTCAATACCATTAGCCATTAAGGAAATGCAAATTGAAACTATAATGAGATACCACTACACACCTACTAGAATGGCTAAAATGAAGAAGACTGACAATAGTACCAAGTGTTGGTGAGGACTTAGAGAAACTGGAACCCTAATACAGAGCTTTGAAAAAGATTTTAGCAGTTTCTTTTAAGATCAATCATACTTTTATCATGCTGCCCAAGAGAAATGAAAACATTATGTCCACATAAAGACTTGTATTATAATGTTTAGAACAACTATTCATAATAGGCAAAATCTTCAATTAACGATTCCATAATCTGGTGAAAGGATAAACAATTTGTGACATTCTAGACAATGGAATACTACTCGTCAATAAAAATGGTCCAACTCCTAATACATGTAACAACATGGGTAAATCTTAAAAGCATTATGCTAAGTGCAAGAAGCCAGACACGAAAGACTAGAAGGTTTGTGTATATGATTTCATTTTTACGAACTTCTAGGAAAGGCAAAACTAGAGGTCTGTGGCTGCCAGGGAGTTTGGGAGGTTTACTGCAAAGGGTCATAAGGGAACTTTTTATGGTGAGGGAAATGTTCTATATCATGACTGGTGGTGGTGGTTACATGACTGTACACATTTATCAAAACTCATGAAATTGTACAACTAAAACTGTTGAGTTTTACTCTATGCAAATTATCTCAAACTGATTACAAAAAAACAAGTGATGGAGTCACATTTTATTATATCTCATAATTACAAAAAGAACATTAAGACATGCATTCTAAAGTTTTAAACTCAAGCATTTACTATACAATACACAAAATTAACACCACTTAAGATTTGAGGCAGGTTACCACAGGAAATATACAGCAAAGATTGTATTCATCACATACTAATTCATCTTCAAACTCAATTAAAGAAAACCTGAGATTTGTCAGAACCTATCCAAATCTGTAACAGAAAGCAAATGACAAAGTACTACTTGTTTAGACAAGCCATAACAACTTTAGCTATAAAATGTATCCTCTCAATGTGTTTCATAATGCATTACAGTGGTGAATTTTTAATTAGTTGAAAACATTTTTTTTTCAAATTATAACTTTCTAAAACATATACTTTGTAATAAAATTATATAGTTTTCAGCAACAAAGGTTGTGGTAAATTACTCACAGACACTGAAGAAAGATGTAAGGCAAGAACCAAAATTCTGGTGTACATTCTGCTTTCAGATGCTTTGACAATACTATTGCACTGCTAGCTGTAAAGTACAGTAGTGCAATAAAGTCAGAGCATTCGTCAGCAGTAATAGGTAGGAAAGACACACAAGAGCATCTTGCATCAGTTGAAGCTTCAGAGTGAAAAGAATACAAAGAAGGGTTGCCTCTTTGGACAGAAGACATCCAAAACCTAAGAACATTTATATCAATGTTAAAGAAAAAAAAAAGAAGACTAGGATTTAAATATCAAAGTGGTATTGGTTTTTGACGACTAACTTATGATTAATATGCAAACTGAAAACATGCATAGATGTAGAAAGGAATTTTGTAAATATGTTATAAGCTGTATAAGTTATTCACATGGGTATTGTTAATACCTCAGGACTGGTATTAACAGGTTATAATTACTACTTAAGGCAAAGTTGTGAAAATATTTCTGTCATGAGATGTGTTGGTTAGCTCCTCCATAGCAATTGACCGATTAACTGCCATATAAAACTAGCCTTTTGAGTAAGATTACCAAAGAAAATAAATGAAAAGTGAAATAATATTTCCCAATTTCTATAAACCCTATCTCTCTCGAATCTAAACTACAATATAAAAAGCACTTACCATCTTATATCAAGAGTTCACAGACTTCCAGGGAATCAATGTCTCGTAAACAGGATACCATTAGAGCTACTTAACTGAATGCTATGAAAGGGGATTTTAAAATTTCAGATAACCCCTAAAACATCTTAAATATAAGAGGAACATCTCCATTTCCTTCAAGCGCAGAAAAATCAAAGAGAAAATAATAATGGGAGGAGGAGACGGCTCTGAGATTTAAGAGGTTTCCTTGGATTCAAGCCAATTAACATTCTAACCTTTTAACTGGTAAGAAACCATTGTGAAGTCAGATGTCAACACAGAAATAGAAATAGTATCATAGTATCACATTGCACTACCTTTTGTGTACAATCTCTACCTGTATCACAAAAGAAAGACACTAGCCAAATACCACTCAGTCAATAAGTGAAGGGAAAAAAGTTATAGAACAAAGATTACCCTACAATGAGTTTATTCCTCCATTAATAATGTTGACTGATGCAAAAACACTTTCCATTGTTTAAAATATCATACATTAAAGCATATATGTGGAATCGAGAAAAATGATACAGATGAACCTGTTTGCAAGGCAGAAATAGAGACACATGTAGAGAACAAACATATGGACACCAAGGGGGGAAATGGGGGGTGGGATAAATTGGCAGATTGGGATTGACATGTATACACTAATATGTATAAAACAGATAAGCAATAAGAAAAAAATAAATAAAATTTTAAAAAACAAATGTTTAATTTTCTGAATCAGGTTAAAACTAGAAAAATATATGAAAATTTTAAACTTAAGAGGATCAGGATATTTGTCTGATATCTTAAAAAATTAAGATAAGTACTTTCTTTTCAAAGTTAGATAATAAGTATTCTATTTCACTTATTAAATATTCAACATTGGTTCCTCAACAAATCCTTTATTCAAGTAATATAAAACCAAAACTCAGAGGATTGTACAGGAAATCATTTACCTTTGGAATCTTAGAAAATAAACCAGTTCACAGATATAACATTTTTTTCTAAAAGCACATGGCAAATCTAAAGGTGAGATGTATGGTCTTATACTACCCAGCCAATACAAAGCAGTAATAATAAAAGTGTAATTGTTCAAATACAATTTTTAAACCCTAATGATTATGGAAAGAAACTAATAATTTGAACAGGGAAAAAAAAAGTTATGACTAAGTTAGTTAAAAGGAATTTAAGAAGATCTGTTTTCTTCTCTTCCTCTCATAAAAAGAATTTTTAAAAACTACCCCATCATTCAAACACCTAAAAGTTCGAGTCTCGCTACCTCATAATTTTCTAAAACCTACTTTTTTTTCAAGATGTACACGTAATTGCTTTCCCCTTAAAATAAAATGTGTTCAATCTTAAACATGTCCTGTGAAACTATTGACTCTAATGCAAACTTCAAAAAAGGCTTCATTGGTACCTCAAAATTAAAAGCCAACTTGAGACGGAAAAAAAAAACTGTTAAAAGCAGAATTAGTATCATTTAGCATCTTACAATTAGGCAGAAATATCCATCTGGAGGGAGGAATTCATGATGGAGGAGATGGGCAAGACAATGTTAATATCTGTGCCTGTTGGTAGAATCAAATTACAATACTTAATACTGTTTTTTTGCTTTGTTTTTTGAAAGACAGTTAATGATAAGAATAACAAAACTTTGAACTAGAAGTTCATTATTTAGGGTTTGGAAAGCTGCAGGAAATTCTTCCTTCTTTGCTGCCATTTCTCACCTTCCCAATTCCCACACACACACCCCACAAAGAAAATCAAAATTCAAAACGTTAGAAGCAAATGAAAGTCAATTTTGTATATGAGAGCCACTACAATTCATTAATACATCAGAAGAAAACAGTAATAAGATATATCAAGGTCTCGCAATTTCTGGGGGTGAGGGTCTTCCAAGATCACTACACGTTGCAGATATTAAAGAGACCCAAGGTTCCGCTTGGAGAAGAGTAGCACAGGCACAAAAGGTACTTAAGGAGTAACGCCAAGGAATGGCAGGGAGGAGAGGATTGTGATGGAGATTTTGGCTTTTTTACTTAATCTTGTTGTTTTTCTTTAACAAAAAAACGGACAGGAGTTCGATGATGGGTGCGTTCTCCAACTTCCCCACTCTAAAGGAAGCCAGCCCAATCCAAACACTCGTAATGCGTTGGGGGTAAAGGGACTGAAGATAAAACAAGGGAACTAAGAAAAAAGCGCGGGCGATCCAGCCGGTAGTCTAGGGATGGGAGGGAGAGAATAAAGAGGACAAGTGAGGGAAGAATCCAAAGAAAAAACTAGTACGGCCCTCCAGTTTGGCGCCCTAGAGCAGGCCAAGCAGCCGCGGGAGTCCTTCCCAATTATTCGCCCCCGCCCCCTACTTTCACAATGAATGAAACTAGGCAACTCCAGAGCAGCGGAGCCTCCCACGTCCCAGGTCCCGCCCGCGCTCCAGGAAAAGAAGCTCGTGGTTGAGATTCCAAAGGCTCACACGTCTCCCCCACCGATGGGCCAAACTGGTCTAGGGGCTTCCTTGGCCGCTAGGAAGTTGTGCACGCAACTCTCGCATCCTTTCTCAGCCTGCCCTGGGCTGAATATGAACGCTTCAGCCCTAAAGGGATTTCTCTCCCCCCTTCTCTGTTTATTCCCCACCCTCCATCCCCCTTTCTCGGACTGTGAAAAACCTCTCCCCTTCTTGGGGCGTTTAGAGACCATTACAGTCAGGTCTTTTTGGTGGAAATACACAGAACGCTGTTTGCACCAGCCACAGTTCCTTGAGAGGCGAAAGGTGAGGGCGAGGAACAAGGAATTCCAAAGGCCCCGGACCCCCAGCATCTCCCGCCATTTCCTTCACGAGTTTCCCGGATGTAACCCCTTCCCCCCGCGGCGGTTAAGAGACCAGGCGGCGGCGACTCCCTTTGGTGCAGGAGGAGGAGCTCGAGTCTAGTCCAGCCTCCTCCGCCCAGGGTTTCCGGCGACTCCAAATTGCGTTCCACATTGGAGGCCATCGGGGAAGAATAAACTACCCAGTAGATCTCCTTCATTTTACACTCACCATCAGTTCCAGCTTATCGACCTCCGCCTCCATGTTGAATAGTTGACATTCCTCAGACCGCGGCGGCGCTTAAGCCGCAAACCGTACTAGCACTGAGGGTCCCTATTGGACAGCTGTCATTCAACGTCTCGCGCTCATTGGTTCCGCCGCTTCACCGGCGCCCGCCCATTGGCGACTGGGAAACGCCCCTCCGCATGAAACACCTTTTCCTGTTGGGCAAGGACACAAAACGCCGCAGGAGGATTGGCTCCTGTACCCTTTTTTTTTTCCATTGGCTGCACCTTCATCTCTACTTTCAATTTCACAGTTAGAATTCAGCAGAGAAGAGCTTGCGATTGGTGTAATCGGAAGAAGAGCCAACCAATTACACAAAAGCTTCCAGAAACAGCAAAGAAGACGTGACACACCTTTCCTCTCCAGCTTCCCCTCCACTTCGCTCCCGCCTTCCTCCATATTCATACAAGAAGCGCCTCGGCTCTGATTGGTCGGAGTGTGGCTCTACCTCAGCCAATCACAAGCCAAGCTGTGATCCTACACTACACGCAGAGCGAATTGTGGAAAGACCAAGGCTACGATTGGTCCCTACACGATAAGGTTTTAATTTTGAATTTTTCTTTATGGCGAGGGAGAGGCCACTGCCGGGACCCCATCGAATCCCCGGACTCTTAGCCTAGTAAGTGCAGGGGTATCTTTCTACGTTACCTGGGCTCGCATCTTCCGTAGCTGGGCCTGTTGCTGCTTGTGGTCTTACGGTTTACAGAGGTGGGAAGTTTCGCTGGACTCGGAGGGGAGACGGATCGGAAAAGAGGAGGTTTAAGGCTGGGTAAGAAGTGCTCCGCCTGGCTCCACTTTAATCATACTTTTATTTAATTAACGCTCTTCAAAAATATGTTTTGGAGCAAAGTCGCCTTCCTTTTGCACAGTCCTTTACATATTTGCTGTTCCAAACGTGGTTCGCGGGCCAACAACATCGGCATCACTTGGCTGCTTGTTTAAAATACAGATTATCTGGCTCCACCCAGACCTACTGAATCAGAATATGCATTTTAACAAGACCTCCCCCCGCCCCGTGATTCTTATGCACTTTAAGTTTGAGAACATACACTTTTTGATAGGGAGTAGTACTATGTTCCTTAATATAGTCTTAATATCGTCCGACTTTCTGGGAGAGTATCAGTTTAAAAAGTGTGTCCTTTTTTCTATGTGACTAGTACTGTGCTGGACTAAGCTTTAGGGAACCGCAATCTCTAGAGAAACAAGACAGGAGCTAACAAAATAATGCTGCACAACATAAAATGTAATTTAGATATAAGCAAGTACCAGCAATAGCCCTATGGATGTTCAAGAGGAATCAGTTGAACTGGTAATGGAAAGTGATTAATTGACAGAAAGCTGTTTGTGGGAGTGTAAACACAGTTTTTCCATAAAAATGTGTTTTAGGACAATATTAAAGAAATCCAATTGTCGTTTTTAAACCGAACAAAGGGCTCCTGTGCCCGCAGTGCAGAAAGCCAAACTGACAGCGGGAGCTTGCAGCAAAGATTTTATTGCAGGGAGCCAGGCGAGGAAGTGGGAGACAAGTCACTCCAACTGGTCTCTGAGTTAGGGGTTTTTAAAGGGGAAGAACAAAGGAGCTGAGGTTAATCATCTTAGTCATCTGCGGTCTACCCTGTCTTTAGTCCAGTGGTCTGTGGCCCCCGGGATCTATGTCAACATAATCTATAAAGGTCATCTTACCCTGGAAGATAATTCAGAACAGCAGATAAACAGTGATGTTTATCTGAAAGTTGTGCCTTAAGGCACCTGACTTTCATTACTTATTGTTGATTATGTAAACGTGATCCAACAGGTATGGGCTAGGCCAAAAGGGAACAAAAGAGGAAGAAGAAAAAGAACAAAAACCCGGGCATTAGTTTTCATTATAAATTAGACATAGGACTTGGTTTCAATTTCTGTTGCTGCCACAGCTTTGTAAGTACCCCCTGACCAAAAGCATTTTTTTGTATCACAGGGTGGAGTTTTAATAGAAGCAGCAGTGCCAACTCATGCAGAGGAGTGTAATTCTTACTCTATTATTTATTGCATCTTCCTACTGGAAATAGTTTTGGACCCATCCTTTAACCATATGAAGGTGCAGTATGATTTGAAGAATTAAAAATCTCCCTCACCAAGAGATTTTCTGGAATGGTATTAAAGCATATTCCTTAATCAAAATAGAGAACACTTGCTATTCTTTCATTCATTTATTGAATGAAATGGTATTTAATGCCTGCTATACTCTAGGTCCTGGGGAAACAGATGAATAAAATTTATCCTACCCTTGAAAAACTCAAATCCAGTGGGGTGACAAACGTGCAAACAAAAATTACAATGCAATATAATAAATGTCACAATAAGGGTGTGTATAAAGTGCTATAGAAGCACAAAAGAGATGACGTATCAGCCAGTAAACATTCCATAAGGACAGAGACTATATTGTATCCTAGCACCTACCATAGTACCTGGAGGATTATAAGCACTCACCAAAAAGACAAAGAGAGACCTCCCTGGCAGTCCAGTGGTTAAGACTCTGCCCTTCCTTTGCCGAGGGCACTGGTTCAATCCCTGGCTGGGGGACTAAGATCCTGCATGTCGCAAGGCGTGGCAAAAAAAAAAGTAACTGAATCTGGAAGGCTACATAAATTGACCTGAAGGAGGATATCCCAAGCAGGGGAAAGACTGATAACACTATAGAAAGTATCTGGTGTTTGGTTTGCCTGAAGTACAAACTGTTAATCATTAGAAGAGATGAGCCTGCAAAGGGCTGTTAGAGCTGAATTGTGAAAAGCTTTGAAAGGTATGCTAAGGAATTTGGTTTATCCAGTGGGTGATAAGTATCCTTCAAATGCTTTTAAACAGGGAATATCAGGGTCATATTTTTGTTTTAAAAGACTAACTCCAGATGCAACTAGAGATTATCATACTAAGTGAAGTAAGTCGGAAAGAGAAAGACAAATACCATATGATATCACTTATATGTGGAATCTAAAATATGGCACACATGAACCTATCTACAAAACAGAAACAAGACTCAAAGACATAGAGAACAGAGTTGTGGTTGCCAAGGGTGGTGGAGCGGGAGTCGGGGTGGGGGGGTGATGGACTGGGAGTTTGGGGTTGGTAGATGCAAACTATTACATTTAGAATGGATAAACAACAAGATCCTAATGTATAGCACAGGGAACTATATTCAATATCCTGTGATAAACCATAATGAAAAAGAATATTAAAAAGAAAAAGAATGTGTATAACTGAATCACTGTGCCGTACAGCAGAGATTAACACAGCATTGTAAATCAACTATACATCAATTTAAAAAATAATTAAAAAAAAAAAAAAGACTAACTCCAGAACACTGTAGAAAATAAACTGGCAAGGAGAAGGACTGAAGGTAGGAAGATCACTGGAGGAACACTCAAATCCAAACTGAGGAACATTTTCCAAAACAACTAGCTGGAATTCTTCAAGAATATAAACATGAAGAAAGGCAAATACTTATATAAAAAGGCTGAGGAACTGTTATAAATTAAAGGAGACTGAAGAGATACTACAGTTAAATGCAATGTGGAGAGGGACTTCCCTGGTGGAGTGGTAGATAAAAATCCACATGCCAGTGCAGGGGACATGGGTTTGATTCCTGGTCCAGGAAGATCCCACATGCTGCAGAGCAACTAAGCCCCTGTGCCACAACTACTGTGCCTGTGCTCTAGAGCACATGAGCCACAGCTACTGAAGCCTGCATGCTAGAGCCAGTGCACCGCAACAAGAGACACCACCACAAGGAGAAGTCCAAACAGTGCAACGAAGAGTAGCCCCCTGCTCACCACAAGTAGAGAAAGCCCACGTGCAGCAACGAAGACCCAATGCAGCCAAAAATAAATAAAATTAAATCTTTAAAAACAAATAAATAAATAAATGCAATGTGGAGAGGGAAAGGAAGCAGCTGTAAAGGATATTGTTCAGACTATTGAATAGTAATTGAATATGGACTATATTCAAAAGTAAAATTTCCTGATTGTGGTTTTGTAGAATAATGTCCATGTTCATGTAAGGAAACTGAAGCTAAAGTATCTCGGAGTGAAGTATGATGCCTGCAGCTAACTCTGCTCAGTCAAAAACTAAAAACTTTTATGCATGTGTAAGTATTTTTTATATTTATGTATGTTTATTATATATTATATTTTTTACTTTGAAAAGTTTCAAACCTTGAGAAAATTTACAGGAATAGTATAATAAATAGTCATATATCATGCACCTAGATTCACCAACTGTTATCTTTCTGTATAGGGGTGTGTCTGTGTAATATGATATGTAAAAATTATATAAATTACATAAACACGTGGTTATATATTTTATACATTATCATGTATAATATATATTGTACATTGCACACACATATATATATACCCCTATGAAGAGAGATAATTAACAGATAACAGTTGGTGAATCTAGGCAAATGATATATGAGTGTTAATTATACTATTCTTATAAATTTTCTCAAGGTTTGAAATTTTTCAAAATTAAAAGAGTAGGGGAAAATAGACTATATCAAAAGACAGGGCTTCCCTGGTGGCACAGTGGTTAAGAATCCGCCTGCTGATGCAAGGGACACAAGTTTGAGCCCTGGTCCAAATCCCACATGCCGCAGAGCAACTAAGCCCATGTGCCACAACTACTGAGCCTGCGCTCTAGAGCCCGCAGGTCACAACTACTGAGCCCACATGCCACAACTACTGAAGCCTGTGTGCTTAGAGCCTGTGCTCTGCAACAAGAGAAGCCACTGCAATGAGAAGCCCGTGCACCACAAGGAGGAATAGCCCCCGCTCACTGCAACTAGAAAAAGCCCATGCACAGCAATGAAGACCCAACGCGGCCAAAAATAAAAAAAATTAAAAAATTAAAATTAAAAAAAGATGGAAAACTAGGGAGAGCCCAGGGAAAGATGGTGAAGGCAACTGAAGATACAAGACAGAAAGGGGAGGGATGGTAAGGAGAAGGGACAGGATGAATTAATCAGAGAATTATTTCTGATTCATGTTTATGAATAATATATAATTTTAATATAGTCTATTCTAATTTATTTATTTATTTTTGGCTGTGTTGGGTCTTCGTTTCTGTGCAAGGGCTTTCTCTAGTTGCAGCAAGCGGGGGCCACTCTTCATCGTGGTGCGCGGGCCTCTCACTATTGCGCCCTCTCTTGTTGCGGAGCACACGCTCCAGATGCGCAGACTCAGTAGTTGTGGCTCACGGGCCTAGTTGCTCTGTGGCATGTGGGATCTTCCCAGACCAGGGCTTGAACCTGTGTCCCCTGCATTGGCAGGCAGATTCTCAACCACTGCACCACCAGGGAAGCCCGTATAGTCTATTCTATAATGGAGTATTCTAATTTCCTCACTTTTTCTTTTTTTTTTTTTTTAATGTTGTGGTACAGGTTTGTTTTTGTTTTTAATTGGCCTTAGATTCTTTTCAAAACAAGGCAAGTAAAAAGAAAGGAAGTATATTTTTCAATTTAAGAGATAGGAAAAATGCTTTGAGTAATCATGAAAGAATGAGCTTCTGTCTAGTGTTAGCAATTGGAATCCCACCTAATCTAGCAAAAAGAATTTGTATGTCTCATTACTCTTTTGGAAAGGG